CAATAAACCAAATAATAAAACAGAACTAAAAAATTCAACTCCTCAAACAGGGACTCATACAAATTAAAAAATTTTATATTTCTTTAACAATTTTGCTTTGATCATTTTTTTTTTAAGGAATTAATTGATCCAATGCTTTTATAATCATTTTCCAGATTATTCTATAGTGTTTTACAGCAGCCAGCTCACTTTGTCATACCAGGACAGCTGAAAAGACTTGTTACTTTTCCCCACCTTTTGCACCAAATTAATCTGAGGAACTGATCAGCCCCGCTGTTTAACTTAAGTTTTTCTTTGTAAGGAAGACTATCAAATGGTTTCTCCAAAATCCGGTCCACAACATTCAAACTGTCTGCCATATGTGCAGCAGCTTGTTACTGGCGCAAGGCTAGTGTGAAGTGTGTCCGCCAGTGAGTGCTTTATGACGGTGAAGGGGCTCAGCAGCCCCCGCTGGACAGGGGGACCTCTCCTGCTGGAATGACGTCTGCATTTCTAGAGGACTGTGTACGGTGGTCCCCAACGCCTTGAGAGCACACATCCTTGACATGGTCCATGAAGGACACCTGGGTATTGTAAAAGTTAAACAACATTGCAGGGGCCTGGTCTGGTGGCCCGTCATTGACAGAGATGTGGAAGCGATGGTGAAAGACTGTGCAGCTTGCCTCACCAGTGGTAAGACCGGCCCTCCTCCTCCACAACCTTTGCAGCCCCTGCCGTGGCCGTCAACTCCATGGAGCCACATCCAGGTAGACATCTGTGGTGAACTTCATGGTGTCCCTCAGCACCAGTGGTTCCTGTTGGTGGCTTATGACCTCCATTTCAAATGTCCTGAAGTGCTACCTGTCGGTTCTGTCACCACTCGGGTGGTTGTTGACTTCCTCTCCTCCCTATTTGCTCGCTGGGTCGTGCCCGATGTGATCAACACTGACATTGGGCCCCAATTGTGGAGGAGAGAGGGATCAAACACATTAGAACTGCATTATACCACCCTCAGGCCAACGGTGGTGTGGAGAGGTTTAACCAAACCCTCAAGAACGGCTCAGAGCACACTTGACAGACGGCCTCCCATTTTCATCAGCACTGTAGAGCACCCTACTTCATTACAGGGCAACAGTGCACGCTACAACAGGCAGTTCTCCAGCTTCCTTGATGCTGGGACGTGACCTTAAGTTACCTTTGGACCGCCTACGCCCACCAACGTGCGACACTCCAGCAGTGTCAACCTCTCTGAGAAACAGAGTGACAACACGGCAGCACCGAATGAAGCAGTGGTTTGACAACAAGCACCGTGCGAAATGCCCTGCACTTGCCGTGTCAGACTGGGTTTTTGTGCGGCGGCCCCATCGATCCCACAAGCTGTTCTCCTATTGGTCAGCACCGCAGCAAATCACAGCGCAATTGGGACCAGCCACCTTTTGCTTGACTGATGGTTCTTGTTGCCATGCCAGTCGTCTCAGACGGGTGTCCTCACAGTCCACCACGGGCCAGGCAGTCACAACCAACCTACACCAACCAGACACAGACCTGGACTTTCCCATTTCCCAGTCCCGGGACCCAGTCATTAATCTACCAGAACCACCTGGGTCTCCACAGTCTGAGCCTCGCTTTGTTCAGGCTTACCAGAGACCAGCTTACTTAAGGGACTTTGTTGCAGATTTTTGAAACTCTAGATTAGAGCACGGTCTGTACAGTGGCAGAATAATCTAAACGGCCGTGCAGATACTCTGGTAGTCTACCCAGAGTATCCAGTCAGGTTGGCCACGTTCGGCTTTTCACACAGTTTTGTTATATTAACCTGTTGTAAACTTTCTTAAGTTTTGGGGTCTAGAAAGGGGGGTAAATGTAGCATATGGTAATGCTGTCAGCAGTGGAATTACGACAGCTTTACGGCTGCCGTAAGGGAGTTGTTCTAAAACGTTGTGGTGATGAAGTGTGAATAAAAAGCAGACGCTGTCAACACAGTGGTTACCCGCATATTTCTGGATATAATAGGCACCATATCTTTTGCGATGTAAAACGTGACGGCATCTGTGAAGGCTTTCCACCGGGCACTCGTCTTTTCGTAGTGAATGCAGTTTGAAAATGATTCCCCTAAGGTAGCTTGTCTTTTGGCGGTGCTGCTTTTGGGGCTGCTGCTAGCTTGAGTTTGTCGTAAAGAGCAGCATTTCTCCCACTCCACAGAGTGCCAGTTCCAGATAACTGAAGACACTGTGCCTTTTTTGGGAAGTAGTTACTCTTTGCTAGCGTCCATATTGTCTGCGTCTTGAGGGACGGGACGGGCGGGGTGAAACCTAACTACAGACCTCCGAACTATGGAAGCCCCAAAGAGTGCACTCGAGAGGGGGAAAAAAATCCAAATTTCCCCAAAACTAAATCGTTATACACAGCAAATTCGAAAAAATCGATAAAATTGATTTATCGCCCAGCCCCAATGCTGGCTGACCTAAATAAAATTTAGGAAGAAAGAAAAAACTCTACCTGTAAAGATCCGCCCTCTCTGACTCGCGAGTGAAAAGTAGAGACTTTGAACTTTAAAACAGTTTTTACACCATATCACCATATCTGGCCCACACCTGTCTGCTAAGTGGGGTGGCTTTAATTCGGTCAGTTTTATAGATACAGGGTCACAATTTCTTGTGGTAGTAACTGAGTCATCCACAACACTTAGCCTGTGCAAGTGGTTATACTTAACACCTGCTGTCTCTGTTACTCCTTCAGGCACTCAGTTCTGGTACGATACCCCTCACCCCTCCCACCCTCGTCTCCACCAGACTCACCTGCTCCCCGTGCTTGAAACGGGTCCAGCCCCGCGCCCTGTCAGACCTCTCGTGCACTCCCTCAGGGCCCTGAAGAGCTCCGCTGAGGTGTCGCTCATGCAGGAGGCAGGTCGGATCACGGCGCAGGTCCGTCGCTGATTCTTCATGTCGTGTTGTTTTACCAAACAGAAAGTGTTAAACGTTCCTACTCCAACTTCAGAACTCACCTGGATTCTTTGTCTTTCAGGCTTTTAGGAGAACGATGGCGTTGTCTCAGGGGGATGTAGATGAAGCGGTGCTGTTTGCCAAGGTAACTTTAACGACGACCTCTAAATACTGCCTCTTTAATTTATTTTTATCTATTGTCCATCTTTGCTCTTTCTCAATATTGTATTTACATTTTTGCCATTCCAACCTAAAACAAATGCAGGTTTCTCAGAAACTTTTCAGAGGTTACAATCATTGAAATTTATTTCTTCAGTTTGATTTTGAGAATCGGATTCATGGTGCTAACTTTCTGGCTTACCCCCCTGTGGTTGCTGGAGGGAATCGTGCTAACACTTTGCACTACATCAATAACAACCAAATTATCAAGGTAAAAAAATGCAGTTAATGTGCTGTGACCATTGCTCTTGAGAATATTAAATAGATTGAGTCATACTTAAAGTGAAATATTTACTGTACATTTTTGCTCCTTGTTTGCTTCATAAGGACGGGGAAATGGTTCTGCTTGACGGCGGTTGCGAGTACTTTGGCTACGTCAGTGACATCACTCGAACGTGGCCGGTGAACGGGCGGTGAGTTCAACAGAAGTAAATCCTGAGAGCTTGAGATAAAACCGATTTAGAAATCATTTAGTAGCCAATAAAAACAACAGTTCATGTGACTCTCTACTTTGTTGTTCTTGTTCTTGTTCTTAAACACACCAGCATACATTATATATAGACTTGCACCAAACTCTGAACACTTTTTAAAACAACCTTACAAACAGAGTTCACATTAGCGAGGTATTGAACAGAATACTTTTTAATTTAGGCTGATGAACTCTTCATTGTGGCTGATACTGACTTCTTCAAGGCTCTCTTTGTTGCTATTTTGTCTTGGTTGACACGCCTTTGCAACATCAAGGGTAGTGCCAGACTAAGGTAGTGGTTTCCTTTTTCAAAAAAGGTGACCGGAGAGTGTGCTCCATTTGCACACCCAGGTAAGGAAAGGTGCTAGAGATTAGAGTCCAGTCGATGGTTGAACCTTGGATTCAGGAGGAACAATGCGAGTTCTGTCCCAGCTGTGGAACACTAGACCAGTGTTTACCCTCACCAGGGTCCTCAAGGGGACATGGGGCACTTGACCGTGTTTTCTGGAGTATGCTGTGAGGGTTGCTCCTTGAGTATGGGATTGTGGGTCCGTTATGGGCCGTTCAGTCCTTCCACAAACACCGTGAGAGTTTGGTTTGCATTGCAGGCATAGGGTTGGGCATAATTGTATCGCGTGCAATTAATCGTCAGAAAAACATTAATCGATTATTTTTTTGGCACTTGATGATTAATACGATTAATACCACCAGGCAGAGTCGGCTCGGTGCTCCTCTTCGCTTCAAATATGACGAACATTAGAAAAGGTTCTGTAATTCATTAATCTATTAACACAATTTAAAATTAATGTATAGCCTGAAGTCTGTAATTTTGACACAATTTGGAACAGATTTTTACGAAGCGCAAATGTTTCCCACTAAATTGGTCATGTGACTTGGACATAAGGATGTCCAAGTACTCCAGGGGATTAATTGTCAAATTAATCGTTATCCGCTAAATACCACAATTAATCGTGATTAATTTTTTTGCCAATATTGCCCAACCCTAGCAGGCAGTAAGCTGGATCCCTTCATGATAAGAGGCTGACTTTATGGGGCTGCCTGTTCTCACTGTTTAAAGCTTTTATGGAGATCATTCTTTTGGTTCAGGTAGGAGATGGAGGGAATCCAGATCTGTGACCTCAGAATTTCTTACCTGCTCTTTCAGATGATGATGGCATCATCGTGCTGTGATCTTCAGCTCTTACTGGAGCAGTTTGCAGGCAAACGTGAAGCTGCTGAGGTGAGGATCAGCACCTCTAAATAGTCCATGGTCCTCAGTTGGAAAAGCATAGATTGTCCTGTTTGGGTTGGGTTGAGGTTTTGCCTCAAGTGGAGGAGTTCAAATATCTTTGGATTTTGTTTGCAATTGAGGGAAGAATGGAGTACAAGACTGAAAGACAGATCAGAGCAACTTCCGCAGTCTTGTGTACTTCATGCCGATCAGTTGTGGTGAAGGTTTCCTGATATTTTTTCAGGCTAGGTCCAGCCAAACCCCTGGAGCCAAGGATCAACCACCAGGCTGGCGTCCCAAAATAAATGAAATTGATGTGGCTCAAACTTGGTGTGGTGGTAGCTGAGAGTCATTGTCAACACAGTCTGAGTGCTCACAGATTGCCCAAGATCTTTATTTAAAACTTTGGTGAGAAAGGTGGCGGACAATATGCGTTTCTGCAAGGAGTGCTACTTTTTAATCAGCATCTAGTTTCTTCACTGTGATCGTGAACATAGTGCTGCTCTGTCGTATCTGTGTTTAGGATTTACTAATAAAGAGCTAAAAATGCTCCCATGCCATTGAAGGCACATCCTATCCCAGGAAGCACATGGCACACAAAGGTGTGGTGTCACGTACATCAACACCGTGCTGCCCCCAGGTGTGCTTGCCTTGTCAGTTATTAAAACATAAGATTCAAAACTGGTCAATTTCGACTCCTTGTTAAATATCTTCACATAAAACAGTGTAAGATTTTAGTCCTTTTTTAAAAATTATTTGGGCAACTTACTGTTCAAGTTATTAAACGTTGTACTTTTCTCGTAGCTGTCTACAGTAAAATCATTAAACAAAACGTACTCTAACTGGACTGTGTTTGAGATTTTTTTGTCTTTTCTGAAGCCACCGACAAACTAAATTTGACCTTAACAGTCTGCTCTCCCTGCAGATTCAGCACCCCCCAGGCCGAGCTATACGAGGCTGTCCTGGAGGTTCAGCTGTCCTGCTTGTCTCTGTGCTCGCCAGGCGTCAGCCTCGATCACCTCTACAGCACCATGCTGGCTCTGCTGGGGCGGCAGCTGAAGCGGCTTGGCATCCTCAAAGCTGGAACCAGTGATGTTGACGTGTTAAAGGTAATCATTGAAATATTGTCATAGAAAGTGAAAATTGTCTCTGCCATTTTGATTTATCATCATTCTAGGGCTGCGCGGTATATGCGGTAGACGGTAGAAACAGTATGAAGTTGGCCTACTGTAGAAATTTACCCTCTACCGTCATATCGTCATTACATCATCGCACCTGTGTCAGCATGGCTGCGAGTGCAGAGACAACTGAGCAGGAGTTCGAAATATAATGAAGAATTCTAGCATTTTAAAACACGTATAGAGAGACTAAATCCTCAAAATATCCCCCTCCCGCTGCAGAAAATTTATGTCCCGCTGCACGTCTCGCAGAGCGAAGCTTTAACTACTGTAGTTTTTTCACACCCAAGTTGTCGTTGAAAAAAAAACTTGTTTTTTATGTATTGTTACCCACAGAGATGATAAAAAGATGTGGACGTTCGTTCAGTCATAAATCCGTCTTGCTAATGTCGGCTTGTGCTCTGAGAGCGCAGCGCAGCAGCGAGTCAGTTCAACAGGCTCATGGTATGGCAGGCCAATGTTGCATTTAATTGGCTTCACCACTCTTACATTCCAGTTATCTGAAATTGTTTTATGACTAGATTAGACATATTAGTTATTTAGGATAAAATGATCAAATGTTTTCTTTTATTATATTGTTTTGTTTTATTTACTTAATTTTTAAACTTGGAGATCTTTCCAGCTTGAGCTTGTTTGTTTGTTGAAGTTGATTTTTGAAAATAAGGGGCACATATGATAGTTTTTGTCTTCACTCTGCACCCTTTTAATTCAGGGTAGGATTTACTTTTTTTTAATGGTGTACATAGATTGTTTTGTTTTTATATGAAAGAAACAAACAAATAAATAGACATCTCTTAATATATTTTGACAATTCAAAATACCTATTTAAGATATCTCTAATTATATTCTGACTAGTATAAATAACGTCAGATTTATCATTAAGTTGTATGGAGACTCCAGTTCAAGATATCTTAAATGTATCTTTAGAAATGAGACAGACTATATAAGATTCAATTAATGCAAATTGCAGACTTTCATGTTCTGTAAATTGTTTTTAAAACAAAGCTGCTGCTGTTGATCATTCATTTTTTTATAAGCAGCCCTCCCAAGGCCAATACTCTATGGTAAACACTGGAAAGGTCTAAAAAAGGTTTTAGAAAATGTTTTTGATAAAACAATTGACTGACTGAGAGTGACTCAGTCTGCAATGTTTGCATCTGCTAAAGCAGATGTCATATATTGTGTACTCTGTATAACCATGTTAATGTTTTTGTAGTACAAATATAGTACACTTTTTTCTTATATTTTATCAAATTTTGAACATTTTTGTTTCGGGCAGGTAACTTTTCATGTCGGGCAGGTAACAAAAAATGTCACCTGCCCGGCAGGGCAGGTAAAGAAAAAAAAACCCTTGTCGAACCCTGTGGGTTTGATTAAGATTAGTTTTCTGCAAAAAAAAAAGCTCTAAAAATTACATTATCTTTACTTTTTATGATAATTTTATACCGCAATATATACCGTTACTGCGAAGGGATTCAGTTTATACCATGATATGAATTTGAGGTCATACCGCCCAGCCCTACATCATTCCCATCACCAACATAGAGGCTGCTTTTCTGTCCTTGGGGTCTTTGTAAGGTTCTTTGCTGAATGCTGTGTGACTGACTGAACTAGAGTTTGCATCACATGATTAGTGGTGATACAGTGATATTAACTTCATTTAGATAATATCTAAAGGTAGAATGAACGGCCTAGAATTATCATCTTAAGAGACACAACCATGGAGGTTTATATAACAGCTGGAGTGCATCATCAACGCATGACCATATGATCTACTGTAGAAGCTACGGAGCTAACCAGAATGGGCAGAAGTCTGGATTTACCAGTACTGTACATACTGGCAAAATAGCTAATAATAAGGGCTGATTATGTAAAATTTGTAAAAACTATTAATGATAATTTATTTTCTTTTATTGATTCATTTCAGACATGTCAAATTCATTGTGTAGCGCATGTCTGTATATTTTAGTTATTCATTTATTC